ATTCCACTGAGAAGACACTCAGTGTCAGACATTTACAGAACAGTTTGCTGGAAATTTTAAAAAATTGTTTAATCCAGAAAATGCTGGATTGATTGTCCTTTTTCAGTATAAAGTGTAATGTAAGTGTAACAGTTAACAATTGGAGCGGTTCCTCTGTAGGGATAGGAATGAACATGTAAAATTTAATGACTGCAGGTCACGTAGAAACAGGTCATGTAGAATTAGTGTGTTTCCACTCTAGTTAGTGTGGTTTATAAGATTTATGAAAAAATGCATATCATAATGACACATAAATTGACATATATCAGGAAACAACCTTTTCAGGGATATATGACATGACTTGATTGTAACAAGAATGTCCCTCTGTAAAATGCGTAAAATGTGGAGAGGCTTCTTCATGTTACTGTGCTTCAGAACTATGTAATGGACTGCAATACCACTTATCATTAATACCTTTTCACCAAACTATTAACAGATCAGGTACAAAAAAGACAAACCGTGCCTGGACTTGTTGTGCAAGCTGACTGCATATAGCTGTTCCTTTTACCTGTGTATCTGAGATTACAGGCATTGTCGTGTGGTACCCAGCCATACTTTAGCAAGAGTAAAGATTCATTTCTATGAAAGAGTAGTGTCAAAGAGAAAGTAACCCATGGAAAAAGTAAAAGAAAAATGTAAAATTTGGAAAGGTACATAAAATACATAAAATTAACAAAATTTTCAGTACATAAAGAAAATGCAAAACAATATTTAGTACTTAATATACACAAAAACTATACATAAAATATTCAGTACATAGAATATAAATATGCATAAAATATTCTGTGAATAAAATACAGAAAATACAAAAAATATTTAGTACGTAAAATACACAAATACATGAAATATTCAGTACATACAATACATAAAATATTTTTTAAAAATGTAGTATGTAAAATTCACAAAGTGCATAAAATATTCAGTTCATACAATACAGAAAATACAGAAAATAAAAAAATATATAGTATGTAAAATACACAGAATACATAAAATATTCAGTACATAGAATACACATAAAATATTTTATTCCACTGAGAAGACACTCAGTGTCAGACATTTACAGAACAGTTTGCTGGAAATTTTAAAAAATTGTTTAATCCAGAAAATGCTGGATTGATTGTCCTTTTTCAGTATAAAGTGTAATGTAAGTGTAACAGTTAACAATTGGAGCGGTTCCTCTGTAGGGATAGGAATGAACATGTAAAAT